TATATATATATATATATACACACAGATAGCATACATATATATATATATATATATACATATATACACACAGACATATATATATATATACATATATATATATATACACACACACACACACACACACACACACACACATATATATATATATATATATATATATATATCCAAATATTGCAGCTGGAAGGGCATCCGCTGCGTAAAAAACATATGCTGGATAAGTTGGCGGTTCAATCCGCCGTGGTGACCCCAGATTAATAAAAGAGACTAAGCCGAAAAGAAAATGAATGAGTGAGCTCCAGATTTGGTTTAGTACTTAATAATCTAATGTATATGCAAATATAATATTGTCTAGCATCCTATAGAAAATATTAGTTTAAAAGAGAAATCTATACTCATTTATACTGAGCACTGTATATAACACATTTAAAATAAAATGAAATGATATAAATTATTACATTAAAACATTTACTAAAATAGGGATCCCCTTGAAAATGAGATGATTCGTTTCAAGGGGCTATGCCTCCCATTTACTAAATTCAAGTATGTATATTCTAAAAATATGTATTCATTATTATTATTTATGCAATACACACGCAATTCCTACACACACAAAAATGACTGCTATGCTATACCACACATACACATGCCTAAAAGAGGCAGAAATCCTGCAAGTGTCGCTGACAGGTGGATTTGGCTCAATTAAAGTTCCAATATCAGGAATCAGAGTTTCAGTATCAGGAACGACACCAGATGAAGGACTGGGAACCTTCAAAACAGGGAACCCCAGATCTCTCTGCTCCCTCAAAACATGGGTCAGAAATCCTAGAGCTCGCTTGGAAAAAGCAGGAGGAGAGAAAAGATTGTGCTCACGAACAAAGAAATGCAGAAGTGAACCATTGAGTGCGCATCGCTCAAAGTATCCGAAGAGCTTCATAAAGGAGACGGAGAGCTGGCCTGGAGACCACAGGGAGTCGTGCACTCGGTCTGAAAGCACGTGGAAGAAGGCTGTTTTTCCATGATACGAACACAGAGGTTCCAGCTCTTTGGGAAACTGCTGCTTCAGTCCTTCAATCAGACACTTGAGAAGACGCAAGCAAACTTTCCTATAAGACAGGAGGAGGAATAATATTAAAGGAAACACTGAAGAAACAGACGAAAGAAACTCATTATGTTCTGAAACCACTAGAGGGAGAGTCAATAAAGAACAAATATTCATTTTTGGGTGAACTGACCCTTTAACATCATACAAACTCATATTATCATACACTCCCTCTCAAGGCAGGCATTGCTGATTTGCAGCAGTTAAAAAATAACAACCTTATTACTCCAGATACATATTTTAGGGGTTTTTTTTACTCAGAAGTACCACTGCAGGACTTGGTTGTCCATTAGCAACAAACAGTTTCCCCACTTGTTCACCAGATGACACAAAAGATGAAAACTGTTTCTTGGAGTACCACATGACAAAGTGACTTGGAAACATGACCTACTCAATGAGGATTTGAGATATTGGATTTGGATCCCATATTGTTTTTGTTGTTGTTCTGCCACTGTTAAGCAATTTGTTACATTGTTTGAAAAGTTGCATGTAAAAAGTTATTGTTCATATCATATTAGGTCGTCAGTGTCTAATTACCACACTGGGCCAATGTTGCAAATCTGCAACATCCCAGAACGTCTTGCATGTGAAGGTCTCTCTAAAAAAAATCAGGATATTGTACTACCCCAATCGATAATTTTCCCCAAATATCATATTTTTTCCTGTTTCCAATACTTAATTTGAGCCTGAGAGGAATAAAAGCTGTCACTAGAGTGGTATCTTTTTGTATATTGCATAGTTTTAATTAATACCATGTCAGCAACAACTATTTTCATGGCAAAGACAATTTGTTAAAGGGCACCTATGATGAAAATCAGCTTCTGTAAGCTGTTTGGACAGAACTGTGTGCAGGTATAGGTATAGAAACACAATAAGTCTCTTTTCTTAAATTTCCTGACGTTTCAATAGGATCAAAATCCCTCCCATTTTGAGGCCCACGTGATGTAGGAGAGTGGTTTCCCCTCCCACCGAATTGATTGACAGCTGCGTATTAACGTGTCTCCATAGTAATGAAGTGTGTGTGTGAGAACTTTGTAAAGACATTGTGTGACTCATCATTGCAGAAAGGCTTGAAATAACTCCACAACAAATACATCAAATAATTATTGGGAAAGTTCCTATTGTACTATTTCTTACAAACGTTGCGTGAGATCTGTTTCAAGTCTGTCACTGTGCTGTTTATCTGACGCAGGATGTCTGTGCGCAGCCTACAACACAGTTTCCATATCCATGAAAGAGAGGAAGAGAAAGTAAAGGCCGATTGGAAGAGGCTCTTTCTTTATCCTTGTGCTGCAGACGGTCTGTTTAGCTGTTTTCTCCCTAATGAAGCGTTCATTTTTTCCACTTACAAAGTCCACCATGT